TGTAATGGCCACTCTTAACCATCAATTTTCTTCCCCCACAGAGGACATCATTCCATCTGAGAGCAGCTCTTTGTCTGATACAACGACATTTGACGATGGTAGGTGTCTCTTGCTTTTCAACTCAACTTCATACTGTAAAAATGTGTGCAGTGGGCCTCATTGTGTTCTCCAGGCAGTCGCCCAAGACTAGAAGTGAATGTATATATTGTGCAAAGTGGTGCCTTACAAGAAGCCAAGCTTTCTAGTAAAAACGAGTTCCCAACAGTTGAACCCATGGAGCAAATGGATCCTAGGATCAGTTATCTGAAGAAAAATCTCCCATAACATCCTTTTCTTACAACCAGTTGTGTCACTCCCAAAAAAGTTTTCTTTAGAGTTTGAAGGCCCTCTTAAACTATGTGGAATAAAACTTCATAGACTACAACTTGTAGTAGGAAGGGAAGGGATATGTTATTTCTGAGCACCTCTTTGAATTAACTTTTTTCAAAATTCAAGAATCAAAAGAGTTAACACTGGAGTATATGATATGTCTTATATTGTTGGATATTAATAATAGTTGTAGTAGTGTAGTAGTTTCTTGCCTGCTTCTCTCCCGGTGGATCATATTAAATAGCAACGTAATAAAATGCAACATGAGGCATCAGTTAAAAACACATAACACATAAAACAGTTGAAATATGGAAAGCCCTTTCATTTTTGGTGCAAGAGGAATCTTTTTACCACACCTTTGTTAAAGTATAATAGAGCTAGATGTAGCTCATAAATTCCATTTCTAGTACAAATAAAACAAGCATATAGTAATTAGAGTGAAACTTGGATTAGTTTGGCCTGATTTCCACTGATGCTTTTTAATAGTGTCCTTGCCCCTGCCCCACTATGTTTTATTAATCTTTATAAGATTAGTCAGAGGATGACTAACCTGAATCTCCAAGAAAAATAGTTAAAATCCAGCAGTGAGCAAAGTGTTTGTTTGGGCTCAAATTATCTTGGGTCAGAGCATTAAGTACAATGTTCAGATTCAAGAGGGTCAGTGAAAAATTAGGAACAAAAACTCAGATCTAACTCACAGAACCAGAACTACTTGTTGGTTCTGGACAGGTGTAAAGACTCTGTATGAAGGATTCAGAACAAGACATGGAGTCTTCCAGATATTCTATATTCCACAACCCTTCAAATGAATGTTGGGTTTAATGCTAAAGAAGGATTTGAGGGTCTGGAATAGTAGTTTACATCATTGATTCACCAAATAATGGCCAGCATTCTGTTAGTTAATTTCAATTACCACACACTCACTCATTCATTCAATCAATAAATTCACTGGTCAGTCAACACTTACATAGCTACTACTTTTTTGACAGGTCTCCTGTAGTCAGGACTAACAAGAAAATTTAAGGCATTGTTAGATTTACAAACCCCATCAATATTCATCTACTGGAAATCATAGGAGTTGTAGCATGGCAGCATCCAATGACATGAGGTCTAGTCACTGGTCTAGGGACATTTCCTCCTCCACCTGTCATTTGAAAGCACATGGTGAAACAGGAAGGCAATGTTTTATGTGCATTATTAGATTAGTGAGTAGGACCTGGGCAGCTGCTGAATCTCACTGAAGTTGGTTCTTCCCTTCCCTTAATCACACACATAATTTGGCCCAATTGCCATTACAAAGAATCTAAACTCAGTATTTTTCAAGCTTAACCGCTTCATCATGTACTGAAGGCAGGCATGAAGGGAGACAGTAATAGCCAAAACCCAAAAATTTCACTGATATTTTTTATTATTTGTATATATTCTATACTGCAAAAATGAGATCATTCGGGTTCCTCTGCTATCATCATTTTCACTTTATCTTGCGAATTTGAAGCTTTGAACAGTTATAGAAAGTGAATATTATTTTAATTCTGAACTAAATTTTGATTTAAGTCCCTCTGTGACTGCCCCCCCCCCCAAACCCTGCTAATTCAGTAAAAGGAAGAGTGCTGACTTGCTAATACAGTTACTTATGAGAGATATAAGTCACCACTTAACACATTTGCAAATAATCATTTATTTCTTTTTAGGATTCCCAAGATTTATTTAATTGCTGTAATGGCATCTGGGTTGGGTATTTCCTGCAAGCTAACAATGGGCTGGGTTTAGCCGCATACACCTTCAGCTAGTCATTAGCCTTCAGGAAACGCCCTCCTCCCCTCCCTTCCCATTATCTAATTATTACTGTACTGAAGCATAAATGTTCAACTTTTATATTCATGCACCTACAATGTCAAGTATCCCTTAATTTTGATCTGGCAACCACTTTTCTGATTGGTCAGCTCAAAGAGCAAGGCTTCTGTATCTAGCAGTATTGGAATGAATCAGATACCTTATCTGCACTGGCTTTTGATTCAACCAAACTACTGCACATACTTATGAATAAGTTTAGAAATTTGAGGCAGAAAATAGATTTAAAAAACTGAATTGATGTATCCATAAGCTAATGCAAATACTGTATCATAACCTTTTTATCAAAAAAAATGAGCTATTCCTTCTCTGAGTCAAGTGGTAAAGGTGATATCTTAGTCTGTCGTTGGAAAAGCTAAAATAATCACAGATCCTTTGTTGTTGTTGTTGTTGTTGTTGTTACTACTTCTACTACTACTACTACTACTGTATTTATTTATACCCTGCTTTATCTCCCTCAAAGGGGACTCAAAGCAGCTAGTGGCGCTGTTCTGGTTTTTTTTTAATGCCTGAGTGGAAAAATGGCAGTGACCAGGAGAGGTTGGTTCCCTAGGCAGTGTTTGCACTTTCTCCTCTTCATGAAATGGCCTTCATCTTATCCATGGGTTATATTGAACTCACTTGCACTTGCTTGGGGGCATTTATTGTTATCACAACCTCTGTACTGCCAGGTTTGTAAATATTACATAATCCTTCAACCAGCACGGCATCAAATTATGTTTTCAGGACACCTAACATTGCAAGGCCAAATAGCAAATGGAACAGAAGATAGATATAAACAGCCAAAGGATAAATACAGATAAATAAATTCAGTGATTCCGGCCCTGAAACCCTTCAACAACACATTAAATACAGAAGGATTACATTTGTAAAAAAAAAACCAAAACTGTGCCTTGAAGATGTTATCCTGCTCCATTTTAACATTAATCTGCTATTGGGGTCCAACAGACTCCTTGGAAAGTGTATTTTAGAAAGGCAAAATACAGCCTGGGGACTATATATAGCCTTTCAAGACTCTTGTTGCAATCCTTGCTCTCTTCAGGCTCCTTAGACCACCTCTTTTATGGCCAACCTCTCCTGGAAGTCACAATGGAAACTTTATTTGGGGCTCTGTGCTGTTTAACATTTTTTGAAAATCCCCATTTTATAAAACCAGAAATGGACTTCCATCTATATCTGTTTAGTTGTTGTTTGGTGATAGCACACTAGCTTTCAAAATGTTCACAAAAGAGTTAGAGAAAGCAAAACAGAAACCAAAGGAGATCTAGACACAGTAAATAATGAAAGGGTTCCAATGTGTCTTAATAACAGGGTTCACCTTTCCACTAAGCAGACTAAGGCTGCAGATGCTGGGGTTGTATGGAGAAGCAATGGCTCCTGACCTTTACTTTCATGTGGGTGGATAGATCTCTGCGTTTTGGGCAACATTCCCTGAAATTCTTAGGTAGCTATCCTCATGTGGAAGACTCTGTTCTGTCATCACTTTTAAAGTAAGGTTCACCTCTTGGATTAGTTAACTTCTGTAGGCCATGGAGTGGGTTCACTGACTCAATGACTGGAGATTTCCAACCATTAGCGTCTGTAGGTGTAATGTGGGGAAGGTCTTTGGGTTTGTGTGTTCTTATCATTCAGCTCAGGAAGTAAAATATCTTCAGTTAGCTCTATCTAGTAGGGTTGTAAAGTTTTCCCTCCCCCAAAGAAGAATGTTATAAATGAGAAACCAGTTCTGAACATTTATACTTATTATGTAGATTTCAGGCATGATTTTTCTTATACTTCCAGTTACAAGGAACTCTGTAGTTATTCTGCCTTCTCTTCTTAATATATTGTTTAAGACAAAAATGGACGTAGTAATAAAATCTAGGAAGCGTTACCAGTGGAGGACAACACCATGCAAAGCACATCTCCTAAAAAATTCTCTTTCTCTTTTAACTATTATTATTCATAAAATCATGTGCATAAAGAGGAGTATAAATAATAATAATAATAATAATAATAATAATAATAATAATAATAATGAGTTCAAGCTGAAGTTAGTTATTTTTTTCTTAAGACATAAACTCCAGATCAATAGGAGGATTCTAGCCCTTCGCTCTGATTGCTCTGCTTCTCACAGCTGTTGTTCTTTTTGTAAAAAGAATTAAAATACAACTGTTCAAGAATAAGCAGAACCAACTGCTCTCCATGAACCATTTGCTTCCAAACTCCTTCAGTCCCAGCCAGGCATCCAAGGAAATACAAACCTTAACCCCGTCTTTCACACGGCTTGCTTTCTAGCTTGCTTTTTCTTGCCCTTTACATCTAAATGCACATCTGAATGCAAACATGCTACATTAAACATGCTAATGTTTTGCTCAGTCCTAGAAAGGTTCTACATAATCTATGTTATCTTGGTTCTGTCTGGCTTCAGGAATGCCAGAGTAGATCCAAAAGACTTATTTATGAGCAGTCGGTAGCTGTAAGACTAAGGAATTCAAGAATCTGTTCTGTAGGAATCAGAGAGGCCTTCTTTTGGGAGATGAAATAGTTTACTTAAAATCAATTATGGCTTGCAGGGAGGCCTTCACAACATTTTGGGGGTTTCTCCATAAGCTGCCACTGTTTAAAACAGGAATTGCTAAATATAAAAACCACTTAGTTATTTAAAAAGAAATATTTTACGTAAACTTAGTTGCTAAATCTCTGAAGAAGATTAATGAGATTTTTAACACCTGGATTATTGTGATTTTATATTAATACCTGTCTTTTATATCATTGTCTGATTCCTTAAAAGAAGGAATCAGACAGTGTTTTGCTGTTGTAGTTCTGTATGCAAGTAATGCATTGCTTGGCTCTTTAGTATGGACATTTGCTGACAATATAGTATGACAGTATACATTTACAGAGTAGTGACACTGCTGTGTTTGCCTTGATAAGATCTTAAGAATATAATTTAGAATAAACAGACCACATATGCTGCCTGTTTGCTACCAAGCCCAGTTCAAAGTGCTGGCTTTAGCCTATAAAGCCTTAAACAGTTCCGGCCCAGTTTACCTGTCCAAACACATCTCCCTTTATGAACCATCTAGGAGATTAAGATCTGGGGAGGCCCTGCTCTTGTTCCCACCTCCCTCACATGTGCAGTTGGTGTGGGATGAGAGACAGGACCTTCTCGGTGGTGGCCCCTCAGCTTTGGAACTCCCTCCCCAGTGAAATTAGATCAGCGCCATCCCTCTTGGCCTTCAAAAAAAAGCAAAGACATGGCTGTGGGACTAAGCCTTGGGTTAGTAAGCAATGCAAGAAATGAATAAGGATTATGTGCAATTGACACTTGGAATGGCCTCGGATTACAATTTTTGATTATGTGATTTTAATGTTTATATTAATATGTTTTAATTCTGTGTCTTAATGTCTAAATGTTGCTTATGTTTTATGGTTTAATATGGTTTTAATAGTTTAATTCACAATTATATGTTATTGTTTGATTTTATGTTTTGGTTTTTCATGTAAGTTGGCATTAAATTTTGCCATGACTATGCTGGAAACTACTTTGAGTCCTTGCAGAGGGTGAGAAAAGCAGTATACAAATACAGTAAATAAATACATATGGTACGATAACAGAATTCATGGGAACACTTAAAACATTTAATTATGTAATCCTCTGTTATTTTTATTAAAAATTCTTATTCAGACCGTGAAACATGTATTTTCCTTGTGATTTTTTAACTATTGTGTATATCCAAAAGCTTCATAACAAGTGACCTTTCATGGTTAAGTTAGCTTGAAGTGACAAGCTCACTTAACTCAGTTTTCACAAAGATGTACTCCTACTATCTTCCAAGACAAAACTGTGTTTTCTTTAAATAGGCAATGATTCCCTCACTGTGCCAGGCCAAAGAATAAACTCTGTGCCACTTTCTCCAAAAACTCCACCACCCAAATCCCTTGGGATAGAGAGACTGCATCTCAGGAAGTCTTCCATGAATGAGCAGCTCTTGGAATCCAGGCACTCCAGGTACACAACATTTGACATTACCAAGAAATGCATTCACTGTGTTCCTGTTTGCTTGCCTTTGCTTTTAAGAGTTATGTCCTCTGTTGTCCAATTTAAAGTGCTCTGTTTTTTAATGTGGCTATTATTTATTTACAGGCAGTTGCAAAGCTACAAACAAGATAGGTTCTGTAGGTTTGTTTTTAAGATGAACTTGTATGTAAGTCAGATCAAGTACATTTTTTAAGTGTAACTCCAGTCAAAATTGTATCATTTTTTAGTTTTGGATAGCATAGGGAAGGGTTAAACCCTGTGGTGTTTGTTTTGCTGTCTGTTCCACTCTTCAGAAGATTTTGCCTCACTTTCCGTCTCTGTGATAATTGGATTTTGAAAAATTGGGCTTGTTGTGGAAACAAGGATTGGTGAGAAAGCTTCAGTGGAGACACCTTTTCCCCATGGCAACTCTTTTGAATTTCCCTTCCAAGGGGTAGATTTCTCTCATTTCCTGTTGTCTCACCCCTGTTCTTGACTATGAGTCATTTGTAAGTCAGATGCTTGTAACTTGGGGATTGCCTGCAATGATAGTAATTTCTGCTACAGGAAAAAGCATGAGAGTGACTTGTGATACATTTATATCATTTCTGTTTATAGAGTAGTTCCTTGTCTCTTAGCTTTCACTTGAGAATTGGATGCAAATGTTTATAATATTACTGTGGAGATTCCTTTGTTCATTGCTTCATTGGAGGAAAAAAAAGTAGAGAATTAAAACAAAGGTGACAAGATTTGTGGGTCTAGAGAAAAAAAGTTCAAAATTCTTGATTCTGGGCAATATGCAAAGTGTCTCCACCCACATTATTTTCACTTTCCCTTCTCACTTCAATCTGTAATGTCTCCTGGAAAGATGCTGCAGAAAAGGTTACTGTCTTACCGAACAGCTCCTGAAGAAATAAAGGAGCTGCATACAAACAATATATATGTGAATTCACTTAAGCACCGCTGAGAACCACTTTTCAATGGTCATCATCGTTTGGGAGATGCCGTTTTCACATTTTGCATTGCATGAAACTGTAATACAGTAGAGTCTTGCTTATCCAACCTTCGGTCATCCAACATTCTGTAATATCCAATGCAGTTTACCTCCTACCTGGATCCACAGCTGTTTCAATACATTGTGATGTTTTGGTGCTAAATTCGTAAATACAGTAATTCCTACATAACATTACCTTGCTTTTTCTGTTGACCCGTTGTCTTAATTTGGAAACTTGTTCACTTGTTGACTTAATTTGGAAAAATCGTAACGTAATTTGATGTTTAATAGGCTTTTCCTCAATCCGTTCTTATTATCCAATGTTCTGCCGGCCCATTTATGCTGGATAAGCGATACTCAACATCTGTGTTTAATACTATTTTGTGAACGTTCACTGTCATTCCAAAAAAGGTCCAATACTGCGTTAATCCTAATTAATTTCCCTTTTCTTTTGACTTTTGGAGTTTTCCTCCTTTTAGTTCTCAATTTAATAGCTCTTCCATTAACTAAGTAGTGTGTTGTTCTCCTTTATGAAATTTGTATAACTGGTTCTTGCTTATTACAATCTACTCTTGCATTCTACAAAACTTGCACTTCCAGTGTATAGGCAAATAATGCCAACTGCTTTGCATCTTATTGGGGACATTGGAATTCTGACCTCATTCCTCTATTTATAATCACAGAGATCCATTGTCAACACATAGCAGTCCATACCGCACTGTAGAGAGGCAGTCGCATGGTGGAAGAAGTATGCCCACAACACCAGTTCTCACACGGAATGCATACAGTAGCACGCATTTAAGGTACATTGATTTCCTTCTTTCTACCTGCAAGTGCCAAAGTGTTTTGCCCTATGTTTTCTGAGTGTTGGGGGGACTCATCCAAATTTTTAGATTCCTTTGTATATTTTACTTGGTGTGTGTGTCTGGAGCATTAGCCAGGCAATATTGTCCCCTAACCCTAAAGGGTAGAATGAGTGAGTTCAATAGAAAAATATGAGAACCTCTTAGAGATGTTTTGAGATATTTTTATGTTTTGAGTCTATTTAGGTTTATGGCCTATGTGAGTTACATCTTGCCTATGCTCTTGTAAATAATCAGTTACAGTTTTTTTTTCAGTGAGGTGTAAACATACTTCATTCTTTTGTGCTTAGCTTTATTTTATCCATCAAACTTCCTTGCTGATGACATATATGACCACAGAAAAATTAACAGCACTTTGTTCTTACATTATTTACATTAACTAATTACTTTGAAAAGGACTTTAGTAGCTAGATGTTACTGATATCACTGGGGCGACTATCTAAAGCAGCGTTTCTCAACCTGGGGGTCGGGACACCTGGAGGGGTCGCCAGGGGGTATCAGAAGGGTCACCAAAGACCATCAGAAAACACAATTATTTTCTGTTGGTCATGGGGGTTCTGTGTGGGAAGTTTGGCCCAATTCTATCATTCATGGGGTTCAGAATTCTCTTTGATTGTAGGTGAATTATAAATCCCAGCAACTACAACTCCCAAATGTCAAGCTCTATTCTCCCCCAAACTYCACCAGTGTTCACATTTGGGCATATTGAGTATYCRTGCCAAGTTTTGTCCASATCCATTATTGTTTGAGTCCATAGTGCTCTCTGGATRTAGKTGAACTACAACTCCATAACTCAAGGTCAATGCCCACTTAACCCTTCTAGTATTTTCTGTTGGTCATGGGAGTTCTGTGTGCCAAGTTTGGTTCAATTCCATTGTTGGTGGAATTCAGAATGCTCTTTGATTCTAGGTTAACTATAAATCCCAGCAACTACAACTCCCAAATGACAAAAGCAATTCCCCCCAACCCCACCAATATTCAAATTTGGGCATAATGAGTATATGTGCCAAATTTGGTCCAGTGAATAAAAAATACATCCTGCATATATTTACATTACAATTCACAACAGTAGCAAAATGACAGTTATGAAGAAGCAACAAAAATAATGTTATGGTTGGGGGTCACCATAACATGAAGAAGTGTTTTAAGGGGTCGCAACATTCGAAAGGTTGAGAAACACTGATCTAAAGGTATATCAATATTAACAGGTCTTGATTCCCTTGAGAATAAAGATCATAACTATGTGTGTTGTCCCAGCTTTTTTAATCTTTCTAGAATGTCCAATATTTATTTATTTATAGTTTTAATGTGGCCTTCCTTTGGTAGTTTTGGACTGCAATTATTATCAGTCAAAGCCAGCATGGCCAGTGGAGAAGGCTAGTTAATGTCCTACTCCAAAACATATGGAGGTCATCTGGTTGAAGAACATGTTGTAGAGGGTGATGGAATGCTGTAAATTAGACTTAATAGAGACCATATTGAAAACTTTATTTTTCCAAAACAGGAACTTCTAGCACCTGATCTTATTCATTCACATGCATTGTTTTTTTTAAATATACATATACACTTATTATTTGCAAATGTAAGGCTATAACAGCTTTTAGGTTTTTCTGTTTCTTCTCCGGCCACAACACCCGCCCCCCTCCAAAAAAGCACCTTCTGCCAAATGAAAAGTTGGCTTGAGCCCCCTTTTGGAATGCATTCTCTGTGGAAAGAAAGCAAGAAGTTGGTGAAACATTGGCAGTCGTTTGCACTGTGATTAAAGCTCGGCTCTTTTTGAAAAGTACCTAGCTCAAACATTTCTGCAGAAAGCTCAGTGCTGACATTCAGCGTTATTTTTCATGTCAAATTCGTGGATTTGATATAAACCCTGAGGAATATCCGTCTTGTAGTTGTTTGTCTCTAGATGGATCATGTCAGCTTTTGATGCCTTTTCTTTGCCTTTGAAAGCCCATCACAACATTATATATAAGAAGCATGTTCTTTAGTTCAATAGTTCATGTGGGTGGGAATACTTTATTTCCCATTTTTGGATCTCAACTGATCATTCACATTCCCTGATAGTGGGTTGCCTCCTCTCTCCTCTCCTCACTAGTATGCAGAAGCAGTCTTTGCTGAGATTGCCGAAGGACTGGAGAAGAGCCCCTTTATCCAGTCCAAAAGAAAGAGATGCACACACATAAGTAACATATTTGTAAATAGGACATTAACAGAGTGCCACCCACCATTTTCTTAAAAAAATATATATCCAATTGCATGTATACACACTGGTTTATTTTGGTGCATTGCAGAGTATGGGTCTTACTACATTTGGATGTTCTTTAACCTTCTATTCCTTTCTGGATTTCCTTTGGATAAATACTAAGGAAGAAGATGCCACAGTGTCTATTGCAACAATTGATGTTGTGGCTTTTTAAGACTTGTTTTTTCTACTGTAACTTGAGCTTAATGGATTGCAACCCACTTCCTCAAAAACCTGGAGTAAATTTAGAGATTCATGATATTCAATGCACATGGTTGGTTGGGGAAGGAGGTTGCCATGATATGGCCATAAGTATTCTCCTTTATTGGTGAATTGTTCTTAGGGTTTTTTTTTCTTATTTAAACCTTACGTCTACATTGTCTGAAAGGCAAAATTATCTGTTCAATACTGCCCTTGTATATAACTGTCTGCCGAACTTGTAGCAAACACACATTTCTCCTCTTCTAGGCCAGACCGGTCCCCTCAACACAGCAGACAGCGGAGTGGCAGCTTAGAGTCCCAGACGAATGCCTTGTCTGAGTTGGCCAGTGAAAAGACAGTGTTCACCATTTCAAATTCCCAAAGAAGCAGTAGTACAGAGATCCTAGATGATGGGTCATCCTACACCAGCCAGTCAAGTGCGGAATACTATTGTGTGACCCCAAATTCAGGCCCCTATTATACCACCCAGACTCTTGACAACCGGACAAGGAACAGGAGACGATCCAAGAAACAGAGCATTTCTGCTTCCAATTCAGGAAGTATGCCAAATTTAGCCCAAAAGGATATCCGTAATGGTGGTGTCTACCAAAAATCTCAAGGACAACCATCGACCAATTGCTACATTACTGGCTATGCCCCTTACTTGGAGTGTGATGTGTACTACAATGGGGGCTATGTGTATGAGAATGGCACAGAGGGACAGTACACTGTCAACCCTTCTTACCGTTCATCAGCACACTATGGATATGAGCGCCGCTATCGGGAGTTCAGGTCTTTTCATGAAGATGAGATGGAAAGGGTTCCACACAACCCATACGCCACCCTGCGCCTGCCACGGAAGCCATCTGTGAAAGCAGAGAGCATCTCCAAAAACATTCACAAGGCCTTAGTCGCTGGGCATCTTCGTGACTGGTACCAGCGTGCCTCAGGGCAGAAAGACCATGGCCTTGGCCTGCAGGCAGGCTTTGACACTGACAGAGGGTCACAGAGGAGCCTGGGCTTTGCTGGACTACAAGTACCATGTTGTCAAAGCAGTCGTGCTTCATCTTTCTCTTCAGGTAACTATTGGTTGGTTTGCCAGTTCTCTATGGGATTGAAGTAACTACTGGTTAATTTTTGAGCAGGAATTAAAGCAACTCAGATCTAGGTAAAGGTTTGAAATTATGAACAAAATGTTAATTAACACTAACAGGGTTCTTTTTTCATGCAATATCATTTTGGCTTCTTGCAGTCTATTTGAAAATGCTCTGAAATGTGTCCAGGAACTGTAGGAAGCAGATGTCTAGCTCCTTAAAATGATTTGCTATGAAGAACATACTACAGTTCTTCCAATGGAACGCTATAGGCTGCCATTTAGTTTTGGGGTCTACATCAAGGTACCTAAACCTTTAAAGCAGTGAACAGCTTGTGCCCAGTAGGAGACACCTTCTTCCATGTCATTCCCCCTGTCCCTTGGAATCCTCCAGACAGGCCTTCTGGACTGTCTGAGATTAGGTTGGCAGGATCACCGTGTAGGAGTTTCTCTGGTGTTGTGCCATGGAACAGCCTGCGTAAGCCAAATGCTTCTGAAGGTTTAGGAGAATGGCCAAGACAAGTTTTGTTGTTGCTGAAGCAGGCTTATGTCCATATTTGGTTATTCTTATTCATGTTGTTTTTATTCTGTAGTATCCCTCACTAGGTTCTATAGTATCATTGTTATTTTTCATTACATTTCATTGGAGTTTTCATGGGATCCAACCCAAGTTTTGCTTCAAGAAAAGAAAAACTTCTAAATTTAAAAATAAATAGTAAATAAATAGCCCTAAGTCCAATTATCCATTCCAGTTAGAGGAAAATAAGCTGGTATAACAGGTAAAACAACTTGGGTCAGTAGAGTGGTTCTGTTTGTGACTAATAATTGGATTGAATGGGCACTGCCAAGCTGCAACAACAAGTAGCCCTATCCAGAATAGCCAAAGATGAGTAAAGTTGGAAATTGCAGTTAGGCAATTATAGAGGGCTAGATGATTTTCATCTTGTCATAGATTATAAGAGCAGGCAAGAAAGATCCATCTCACTTTGTTCATTACAGTTCAAAGGAGCTTAAGTGTGTGTGCATGCAAATGAATAAATGTCAGCATAGCTTACTACTACTTTTCATTTTTACACAGAATATGCAATATATTTTATTAATATTATTCACATTCTGTCAGCCTACATGTGGCATTATATGATGATACACAGGAAAAACTACAGCTGTAACTTAAAAGCCTTATCACCCTGCTTTTGGAAAGAATGGTCAAACTGGTTTACCTGGGTGTCAACAATGCATAGGAGTGTAGGAAGGTTGGGGGAAACCTATTGGCTCACACAGGTGGCTTATCCAGTCCAATATCCTGTCTCCTATGATGGCCAGATCCAGATAGCTATTGCAATATTTAACCACATAAGGTAACAACACAGGCAGCCCTTATTGTGGCGCAATGAGAGAAGTTCATGAGAATGACTCAAATGCTAAAACTTATGGTGGGATCTCAACCAATATCTTGGTTATCTTAAACACATAAAGACAATACTTCCTCTTTTATTATTATTTTTAAACAGAATGAATATGCTCCTTCCTGTACAGATATATATTATCCAGCAATGGAATATGCCTAGCCATTGAAAGGAACAGAGTGAATACACAAAGTCGAAGAATTCCTAGTAATTATTTGTCTGAAGTGCTAATTATTATGAAAATGGGAGACAAAAAATGACAGTTCTGTGATCTAGGTGGTTTTCTAGGTTAAATGTTGTAGTACTTAACACTTGAAAATACATGCTTACTGAATTTAGATTATAGTCAAAAACCTGGTAACTGTCATCGTGATTAAATCTGGACAATTTCTGTGTCTACTGGGAAAGCAATGAAGAGGTTTATGTTTATTCTGTAATTATGTATTCTCCATTTTTTTAAAAAATGGATACAGTTGGCACTCCAAATCCATGCATTTTGTATCCATGGATTAATGATCCAAAGTTGGTTGCTGAACGTTTTTTGAGCTGTATGGCCATGTTCCAGAAGCATTCTCTCCTGATGTTTCTCCTGCATCTATGGCAGGCGTCCTCAGAGTTTGTGACCTCACAAGCTCTGAGGATGCCTGTCATGTAGATGCAGGAGAAATGTCAGGAGAGAATGCTTCTGGAATATGGCCATATATCCCAAAAAACATCAGGCAACCCAGTGATTCTGGCTATGAAAGCCTTTGACAATACATTAATCATCCAAAGCTTGAAAATATTCCCCACAATTTAAGAAAAATACCTTAGTTTTGCCATTAGGGACACCATTTTACTAGAACAGCTTTTTCCTCTTTATTTTACATTATGTACAGTTCTAACTTACAAGTCATGTGGTCGCAGCCCAAGGGAGTGAACAGTGACCGTGCAAGACATATTATACTCTTTCTTATCTCAAAAACTACCCACACGGAAATTACATGATACTTCTGTCCTACTCTAGCAATGCACTCTCTTATGTCCTAACCCTTTCATTTCTGGTTTCTCTATACTCTGCATGCTTTGACAAAATGGTGCTTTTTTATTTATGCACATATTTTTCTCAACCTCAACAGGTGCTTGCTTTAATCAAACTGGAAGAGCATCTCATTCTTACCCATGAATTTAAGTCCTAGCTAATTGCATTTTTACTTAGTGGTAGCAAGGAGCTGGGAGCTGGGGGTGGTAACGGCCGACAGGGAGCTCTGGCGTAGGCTGGTCCATGAGGTCACGAAGAGTCGGAGACGACTGAACGAATGAACAACAACAGCAAGCCCCAAGGATCTGTTCCTCACAGTTTTGTGGTCATGGGCTTCACATCTTTCATGTGTCTCCGATTGTGGCAAGACAGCCTTAGAATATGACCACATTTCCTAATATTTGTGTAAGGAAGAGCTCTGCTTGAATCCACAATGTTGATATATAAAAAGTAATTATTCACTTTCTTGTTTTTCTTTCTCTGTCCCTGCCCCCAATTTTAGCATCTTCTGCAAACACTTCTGGGAATTGGCGGAACCAGATTGCACTTGGAGTCTCAGATTATGACACCCTGTCACAGTCCTCTTACCACAGCTGTTACGGGAGCATGTATGGCAGCCACACACTGCAGAGCAGGTGAGATGAGCACAATAGAACCACTAATTTCCCTTGAAAGATTATTGTCCTCCACTTGAAATAATATTGGCATATAATTATTTGTGGAGAACAGCTATTTCTTATAAGGATGTACTTTTTCTTTGTAGGACTTTTGCTCTATCAATAACTTGTGAGTTATCCTCATCCACAAATATTAATTTGTGCTGACTGAAAGCTTGGTGGTTCAAATCTGTGGAGCAGGGTGAGCTTCTGTCTGTCAGCTCCAGCTTCTCATGCAGGGACAAGATAGTAAAACATCCAGGCATCCCCTGTGCAATGTCCTTGCAGATTGCCAATTCTCTCACATCAGAAGTGACTTGCAGTTTCTCAAGTCGCTCCTGACATGAAAAAAAAACCTCATGAACTACAATAAAGTCCAGGCAGAGTTACAATCAACAAGCCACTTAAACATTTTTAAGTCTATTTTAATCTCAGCCTATTTGATAGGGAAGATTGAGCAAGCTTTCTGTTAGTCTTTTAGGCTATTTCATTCTTTACAGCAATATATACTCCTCTTAAGGAGAAACATATATTTTAAATGTCTAGACATATTACTTCATTACATCATATGGCAAGTAATATAATTACCCGCCATGTAACATTATTTTGAAGGCAACATAACATATACTTTGCATTACATCTGAGGTATTACACAAAGGCATCCCAGAGAGACAGTGTCCCTAGGCATTTCTATATCCATAGCAGCTTCTACTACAAGCATAATGGAAAACATATCTTTAGTATAGCCTAATTTTCACCAACATCGTCTGCACTTTTATGAGCCAGCAACAGTAGTTACAAAACCGCTATCTTGATGTGTGGGAGGCTGACACTTGCAGTCATGCTGCTATCTGTCTCTTCTTCGCCAGTTAATATCTTTCTCTACTTTTTTCTGTCAATTCGTCTGAGATCTTTAGCAGTCTCCATTTATGTAAACAATATTCTCCTGTAATCAAACTAAAGATCCTAGTAGTATTTCCTCTGTGATCTAACACTTGGTAACCACAAGTTCTTGACTGCTTTCCATCAAATTGCAGGAGTCAATAACATTTTAATGCAGTACTAATAACACTTTCACATGGTACCTTTCTCAGGTTCATTGTATGTAAGTCAATTCACTGTTTATGCATTTCTAAAAATCTTATCAGATTGTTTTTGTTAGGCTAGTCTGGTGCATCAAAGCAAACAGCTATTTCACGAGTCCCCTTTGGGGGAGATGATGGTGGATTATAAATAAAGTTTATTATTATTATTATTATTATTATTATTATTATTATTATTACACATACAAATATACACATACTGACATTAATGCTGGATACTTTAAACTGGTATATTTTATGCTTTACAAAACACAAATTGCTTCATTAATTTCAATGCTGCAAATTAGAAAGCAAATCAGTGCTTAGCCCTAAACAAAAGCCCTAGCTGTAATCTAGGGGATCAAGAAACTGCATATATTAAGAATCAAATTGTAATAAATTGTATTGCTGTATCAGCCTAAAGTACTAGTCAAGAGTCCTAATGTGCATAAGAAAAAGTTGTATTTTGTGATATAACATTATATTAGCATGTTGTAGATAGTCTTCTACAAACAGTATAGAATGGTTTATGGTGCCCAGTGGCGTGATGATGATCATCATGTAAGATAAAATGTAGAGAGAATACATTCACAAGTTACTGGCTTCAGATAGCTGCTACTCTAATTTATTTAATTTATTTCCACTCTCTTTTTCCTTGTTTTCATGGCAATTCTACCATAGCTTGGTGATCCACTTCATTGCTGCCATGGAACCTCTTACATTCACCCACCTTTGATTTTAGTTCAATGTCAGCAACTTATTTCCTTCTTTTTCTTAACTCCACCTGTTATCCAACGGAACAAAGGGACTCCTTGTGCTTCCAGAAATGAGGTCATATTTAAATACACTTGTGCTCACTGTGGTTAGCTCAGGGTAGCAAGTGCTCATGGTCATTTTGTGTCTGGTTTATAATTAGCTGGCTTTCTCCTTCCCCATCCTATCACTGAGCTGGTTTTCTCACATTATCTGGTGAGATGGTGGAATTTGCATCCTTACAAAGCTGTGTAAACTATCCTAGCTGATTTTTAGCTCTGTGTCTTTCACTTCTGGGTGGTTTGAATAACTATGCCAAAGTAGGGAATAGTGCAATGACGGAGTAGTGCAATGATGGAGTAAAACGACCCAAAGTTGTGAAAAAGTTGAGGAGAGGATGGCATTGGAAGCTGTTTGTCTGAGATCCAACAGGACAGCTGCCATTTCATCATATTTTATTTCTTTCTTTGCACTTCCTCACACTGCTCCAAAAAGTACCTTACACTGGTATAATGTATAGTAATGTCAGCATAAATAGGATTCTAGCCTTAGTGTGTTTATATAGTGGCCTGACTTTAAATATGTGGCTCTTCATTTACCCCAGTGAGTATGAGGGAATGACTAGAGATGCCTGTATGATACATTTCATGGATTTTTAAGTCACAGCAACTGAACAAGAAAACAGGAATGAAGGTACAATAAATAAAAGAGAAGAGAGAGAGAGAAAGTAGACAACAACTTGCATTAAAGGATCTGTATCCCCTTTATAAAAAGTATGCAAAATTGAGCATAAACTGCATTTTATAAAATCCTACAGTCACCTCTGAACTTTACCAGGTCTCTAGTTAAAACTTTTACTACATTGCTGCCCATTTAGGACTTTGACCAAAAGACTGAAGAAGAAAAGGTTGAGGTAACTGTTTCAAGGTAAAAGTCCCTGGAGACTTGAGTGCAAATCAAGGAAGATTGCTTTGAGGTCATTCAGATGGAAACATCAGGCCAGAAAGAAATAAAATATGATGAACTGTAAAATACTGTAGTGAAGTATGAGCCTCTTCAAGAGATTGAAAGTAGAACCTTTAAAAAGCCTTTAGAAATTAGATTTCATAAAATATATCCACCAGCTAGAAATGTCATCCAAGAAAATCTAGGCCTGTGGTGGAAATTATTAGGAAGAGTTATGATTAGGGAAAAATAAAATCTCCCTAAAGTGTAATAAAAGATTAATAAGACCTGTGCAACAGAATGAGTGAAAGAATCAACTCTGAAAATCATAATCTAGTGTAATGGAACCTTCTCTCAAAATGAAACCAAAAGGGCAAACTGTGGACCAAAGCCCCCAGAACACACAATCAGCTTAAAGTAAATATTAAGGAGGAAGGATGAGCAGAAAAAGAGGTACTCTCCTGTGGTACAATTGCTTTATGATCCATTAACACCTCCAAGTGGTCATGCTTTCTCTCTGTTCTGCCCCCACTTTATAACTAAAATGTTATTGTATATTGCCAGATGAAACCATAAGTACATTGCACCAGCATTTCTTTACTTGTTAGAAACAGTGTCCCTTTGCTTGTAGGCAAATAATATAGCCCTGGTTAGGGTCTTAGCAGACTACATCCTGGCCCTAGAGCCATTGAAAGTAGGGAACTTGCTCGTTTCTCCATTCTTCTGTTTCCTCCCAACTAATTTGCAAACCATACAGCCTTCTCACAGAAACAGACATTTATCTATGGATTGGAGAGCATCCATATGAGCAAGCAGAAGTTCAGCAATGTTCTTATATCTAGATGTGGTTCAACAGGTATCAGTAGGTACCTCCAGGAATCCTCAGGAAGTCTCTACAGTTGATGTCCTGGTAGTATCTAGAATAGGATAGTTGGATGCATCCTTGCTCATCTCCCTGCTCTGGCCATGAAAAAGGCCATGTTGTGGGGGCTAAACTAATTACGAGTATGTTGCATTGTCAGAATAGTTTTCTGACCTCCCCAGCGACCAAAAAAGTGAGTTGTGACAACAGTCATGCCAACACATGCCATTGTGATTCACCATCAAAATGCTAGTCCTTTTTTTTTGTTTTTTTTTTTTGTTTGCCTATCTTGACTCTTCAGGAGGGGATGAGATAGAAGTAAATACATATTATCTAAATGATTATATTACAAACGTTACAATTTACCAGTGCTAGGAGTCAGGACTTATAATTTAAATCCTCATGCATGATTCCTCACCCAAACCCATATTCACTTAAAACATTGTTATCTACGGAAATGTTACCTTGCTAGCTCTTTTCTGCTATAATAGATTTGCTTTCCAATTATGATTCAGAATAACTATGGCTAATTTCTCTCCCCAGTGGCAGTCTTGTTGATTTTAATTTTAAGATAAGTTAGAAGGGGATAATTGAGGGTAAGAGGATCTTTTGAACAGACAACCAAATAGGGCAGCACTTGAAATCCAAATTCATCTTTATGTCATTGATTAACATACTTCTTTTACAGGACATATGCTGATACAAATGAGCTTGGTGACCGGAACCAATTGGAAGGCAATCTGGAAGACAGTGAGCAAAGACTGTTCTGGCATGAAGATGCAAAGCCTGGGACTTTAGTGTGAACCAGCTCTCTACTTCCATTACCTTTATGTGCCTTGCACCTTATGCTCTTCCTATAAATATAAGCTTTGTGGTGCAACTTACAAAAGGAGCATCATCATGGAAAGATAAAAATTGCTCAGCGAAAGAAAGATGCAAAAAGTCCTATCTATACTAGCACAAAAATACAAATACAAATAACACAGGAGCCTCAGCAGCCAGGTTTTAAATCTTCTTCCCTACATACATGTGGTTAAAGTATTTTTGGAAGGCACTCTGTTTTTAAGAAGATGGAATGTTGCTGATATTGAAAAGCTCCAAAAAGGTGGAAATTTAAGGCGATTCCTGTGGGGACTATTTTAGGAGCACAATTCAGTGGGAAAGAAAATTGCAGTGTTTGGAGTTCCTTCTGCCAGCACATCGTCTTGATCTGTTTGTGACGTGTTAAAAGGACAAAGTGATGAAAATGGAGCAGAAGACTGACTGAGACTGCAACTACTTGAAGGATGTTTGAGCTTTTAAACAGTATTTTGAATGAGTTTGAAGAGGATTTTAAGGTTTGCTGGCTAAATGTGCTTTCTCTCAATACTCATGGAGGGGGGAATGAATTGCACTTGTACGCTGCAATGGCCTACAGAAAGCTGAGCCTACAGAAGAGTTCTTCTCTGGACAATGAGAGTTCAACTTGACCAGGTTTTTCATGATATCTGTTCATTTATGCAAGAACGCATGCAGGTTTCACAATAAAATGTTCTGGGAAATATTTCATTTTCCCAGGCAATGATTTTATAGTGTAGTTCCCCTGTTTGAGGAATTTTATGGCAGATTCAGACAACGGCATCTTTCATTTTCCACGTTTCCCTTTTTCTGCCTTTTTTTCTTTCCTGTAATACATTACAGGGGGAAAGATGGTGTAATATTGTAGTACTTGGTACTCCTCCATCTTGAAGCCTCTTTCATTTGGGTGTGAGCCTAAGAATGAGCTACCAATGTAACAAGATGTCCAGTGTACTGATCAATGTGGTTGTGTTGGCCAGTATTATTCATACTTTTGAGATGGATGCAAATACATTTAATAGTAAAACCAAGATGGTGCCTTAAAATCAAAGGGCATTATAATTTTGAAACAGATGTTACCTGAAAAATAGGTGCACTTGGTTCAGGTGCTTGCCTCTGTCAAAGAGGTCCAGAGCATGCCCACTGCTCTTCCACTGGCTTGAAAATGTTGTTTATACTGTTTATGACTAGAGGACAAAGAATAGGATGGAGAAGATCTGGATTTAGTCCTGGCCACAATTTGAACTGGACTGAGAGCTGATAGTGTGGATCTCTAGAATCTCAACTGTGATTGGAAGCCTGTTTCCACATGTGGGCTGACTTCTACAGACCGATGCCACAATGTGATAGATTGCACCTTTACTAAATCAGTGAAAAGAAAATAAACAATCAACTTCAGGTTTCATCTGGAAGGGAGCAGCCTACCTCGTATCATCTACCTGTAGGAACAAATTAGCTCTATATTATCTGTGTAATTTTGCAAACTGTCAAGGAAGATACCTGTTTCTCAGCCATATTATGCTTCATGATGCTATACAATGGTGCTGTTCAAGGATCTTTCTTAAACAAAAAATGTCGGATGCATCACTCCTTGTTCATATTGTAAATAGAAGGTTTTTGGAAAAAACAGTTTTTGGACCTTTTTTTACTGATGATTCCAAAGTATGTAAGAAGAACTCTATAAAAAGATGCACACACAGTTATGTACACACACGCATACAAACAAATATATATAGATATGTATATATATCTACAGAGAAGTTTTGCATTTGTTAAGCTGGTCCTTAGTCATTTGTATTATTAGAATTAACGTTTGGAATAAAAATGGGAAATCAAAGCAAAATTAATTTATTTCTTTTTGTGCATATTTGTATAGCCTTTTAGAAAGAAGAATATCTTTTTTGCTTATTCTTTTACTGCTCTTGACTTTTTAAAAGGACCTATGGTTTTGTATGGGTCAATAAACTTACAAATATGCTACTAAATGTTTTCACTATGTTATTGCTCTAATTTACTTACACTTTTCTACATCTCACTCTCTTACCTGAGTTGTGTGCAGTATAAAATCAAAACCTATATATAGCACAGATATATGGCTGTCATTCCTTTTGGTATGTATTATGTGTAATCATAGTGCTGTGTTTGTTTGAAGAGGCCCAGTATCGAACACTATTACATCGAGTTTAACTCTCCAAGAAGATTCCCAAACTATCTATTTTTTGCCTTAAGGCCTAATAGATCTCTTAGTTTGGTATGACATCTCATTTCTATCTCACTGACTTTGTTAAGTATCTTGAAATAGAATTAATCGAACCCTTGTTTTTTAATTAATACCACACACAACACAATTACAGCTCTAATTCGACTAGGCTGCATCCTAAGGAATTGAGGCATTTATAGTTTGGGTTCTACACTTGACCTGGGCTTCATTCATAGATCATCTCTCTTTTCACAGTATCTCACCCCAATACTCTGCTCAGTTTTGTTACTCAAGGCATCCCTGTGGTGCCAAGTGTTTCCTGTCCAGTGTCCTTCATGGGCAACTTAAAATGTTTTGCACCTGAATACTCACTCCTGTTTCTTCACATCTTGAAGGGTATCTGTTGGAATGAATGAGTGATGCCCAGATGATTATCTGAGGTAAGAGTCAATGTCTGCTCATCTGGTCTGACTGGTAACACCAGCTGTGGGCACCTCAAAGTATGCTTTGGCCACAACGTATATCCAACAGGTTTAGTCATGATCACCTTTAGTCATCCTTAAAGAGTTAGGAACCAGGACAAATTGAAAACTTTAGCTGCAGCCACATTTTCTAATCTTCTAGATTAGAAAAAAGGTAATAAGGGGAATAGCTTTTCATAGCATTAGTTACACTATGAAGCACAATTGTTGTTCCTGAGTTATAAATTTCATTTCCTAATGGGTTCTATCATAAAAACATGAAAAAAACTTTGCTTTTGCGGGATGTCTTGCAGCACATTTTCTATAGTTTTTCAATGCATATCTCATAGAGTCTTAACTAATTCAACATAGTTTGTGGCAGCCATAAAAACAAAGTTTCTGGTGTATAACAACTACTTTCAAAGTAAGTATTGCACAATTAAACAGAAATAACCCTTTTAAACCAGGAATAGGATTTTTTTTCTAATTTTGTTACATAATATTATAAACCTTCTCACTGAATCAACAGGTTAGGAGCTGGAGCATTGTCAAAAAAGTATAAACATTGGAAAAAACAACCCAATTTAATTCTTTGCATTCACATGAAAAATAAGTGAGGATGATATGTATTGATTCTGTAATTGAATCTCTTTATACAAATGACTAGGCAGCAGGTGCAAGACATAGCATTAAGAGAACAGAGCTAACGGGTGTGTGAATAGAGGGAATGAGGAAATTAGGTCATATGAATCAGAGAGGTGTTGGCTTCACCACATACTTTTGGATAAAAGCCAGTGGACTTTCACCCAACAGTCCTTACTTCTGTAAACTAAAACTATACTAACTCAACCATCTTTTCTGCCCCATACACTGCAAGATAATGAAATACTGAGCCAGTTCATGAATAACTAATCACTGAAATGCAATGATATTTTCCTACAACAGAATCTTCAATAGCATCAGATTCAATATGTTGCCTATACTTTCCTGGTTCTTCCCATATAATCAAAACAGTAGAAATTCTCCCTGACAAAACAAGCAAATCTGGCTGTCAGTTTCTTTGCATTGCCCCTTCTTGGACACACAAACACATTTGTATCCAGACCTTCCACAATTGCTGGAGTTAGGAGTGCAGGAGTCCCATAAAAGTGAGAAAGCCACAAATAAAACAATCCTAGCACACTCTTACATATCCTCTGCAATGAATGTAAGCAACTTCAAATGCCAATGTATTGTTTTCTCATAAATAATATGATCTAATTATTTTTTTAAATTGCTGTAGTGAGCGTCAACAAAAATGGAAGCAAAAAGACACCACAGAGAAATAAAGAAGTGTCAACATGTGCAGAAAAACCTGGATCTTTTCAGACTTAACAAAAGGATTTGGGGTTTTTACAGACAACTAACCCACCAACCCAATACTAGTGAGGCCATAGAATAACTATGTTGGAGGGGGGAGTGAAAAGTAAGAGTGTGGGTGTAAGGTAAAGGTTTCCTCTGACATTAAGTCTAGTCATGTCCAACTCTGGGGAGCGGTGCTCATCTCCATTTCTAAGCCAAAGAGTTGTTGTCGTCTGTAGCCACCTCTAAGGTCATGTGGCCAGCAAGATTTCATGGAGCATTGTTACCTTCCCACCAAGGCGGTACCTATTGATGTACTCATATTTGCATGTTTTCAAACTGCTAGGCTGGCAGAAACTGGACCTAACAGAGGGAGCTCACTCCGCTCCCTGGATTCAAACTGCCAACCTTTTGGTCAGCAAGTTCAGCAGCCCATTAAGAGTATGGGTATATCAGTGTGAAAATATACTGCATGTGATGGAATATGCTGTTGCATGTCCCACTTTATGCTTGGCCCCCACCCTACCTCTGCTGTGTAACATGCTTGATGGGTGGTTCAGAGTTGATACCTTCTCAGTGCCATAAGCAGACAGGTCAAATAATATGTCTGTGGATCCTGTCTGTCTTCTTTTTAGTTGCCGATGAGGTGAAAATTCTCTACCCTTATCAAGCGATGACCTGGTGTTACCTTTTCATGCTGACCACCTTCACGTGGCCATGTAGTGATTGTCAGAGAGTAGGGCATGGCTGAAAAACATCTGGCTATATGCCTATGTACACAATAATCAACATCCTCTGTCATGCCTTACTTGGAGAAGGCCTCAATGCATGAAAAAACACCCAAAATTAACAAAGCAGCCATACCTTTACCCTGTATCTTGTCAAATGCCAACAGTTGAAATGCCAAGAACAGAGTCTCCAGAAACATACTCATCCACCTTAAATAAATTATGCATAGCCAACATGTCTAATTTACTGCTGGTTATAAATTATCCCTGAGGATTCTGGTGCTGTGGACAATTGATCCAATGCCTCCTACTGTGTGTGGTTTCCCTAACTTCCTGTAACTCTGATGCCTTGACTTTGGACTAATCCCTCTGACAACGCCCTTCTTGGTTTTGGATTCAGTTCAAGACTCTTTGCCTTATTTGATCTTGGACTCTTTGGAGTGTGTGTCTGCTTATATGGCCACTGATATCACCTTCAGATTAACCTGGGATTCCCCTGGTCAGGCTCTCTAAGTGTATAGTCTTAGAGATTGATCACACAAGGCAGGCAGATTGCAATTCTAACAGAGCAATAGCATCTTTGGCTGGGGCTTATCCCATAATGTTGGACATCATTTTGGAAGGTGTTTTCAAATACAAATAAACCTTTTGTTTGTTTTTTTTGTTTTTTAAAAAAGCCTTCCAGTGGTCTCCTACTAGAAGAGTGGCAGGAAAGGAACACAATAATGTGATAAGTCTCAGCCAAAAAGACTGTTGCTCGGCTGCAACTGCTATTTGCCTACCTCAAGTGATAAAGGTATTGGTTGCTTGCCCATTTTAAAATAGGCTATTTGCAGGAATGCTATGTTGTTGTATGTACTAGGCTATAATCACATAGCTGGACACTTCTTGGCTGCCCTCCACTTTCTAACAACTAGTATAGATTTCAGGGAACAGAGATGTGGGGTGTAACATAGTTCCATCTAGAGGAAGTTTATACCATGTGTCTTCAATGTAGAAAGCTTGAGCTTTGGTATATGATTTTGAGCACAGATGTTAAATATAATGTTTTGGTCGTAGCACTCAAGCAAGAACCCTCAGGATGCTGGGGTTCACCAGATGGACTCCTGTTCAATTACAAAGCCCAAGCAGAAAGCCTGGGATTCATTGGCATTTCTAACAAAAGTTTCCTAAGTAGATGGACAAGAAAGGAGCCTCTATCAAACAGGGAGCACAAGACAGGACTACCTCTTCAAAGCTCTGACTCAATGCAGGACAGTTTTTAATATGCTCATGAAAGGAGCCACAGTTCCTGGCCTAAATTCCAGCAGAAAATTTTTGCTGGTGCATGTATTTCACCATGACAGTCCAACACACCTTGGGCAACAGCAGCTATTAGTGGTAGAAGTAAATGTTTTGACACACTGCAGCCAAAGATTTTATCTTGGAATTATGTTGCTGCTGCAAGAAAAACAGTCCTGGCTCCATCTCACTTTCACACAGAATGGGGCATTAGCAGGGGTGGCCCAAGGTATGTTTTTACAAGCAATACCTCTCACTCTTCTAGATCAATATGCGTAAGGTAAACACGTCACATGGGACAGACAAAAACCAAACGTGTCTCTCTTTTTCTCTGGCTGTAAAAAGCAAAGGTGGGGAAAGGGTGACCGATATATGATGTACCCCCAGCACCTTTTCTGTGGTTCTCTAAGCTCTCCCTCCCTCCCAGGTTCCCCAGTAGCCCAAAGCACAAACAAATATTACACCTCACAGTAATATGGTTATATGACTTTGCAATTAGCAAACCACTATAGGAGTTTAGAAATCTAGGAGAAAATGTCTATATACAATCTATCAGGTCAGCAACAGGTCTTGCAACAATATTGAAAGTACCATATTCATCCTTTCCTGTGCTTAGAGATCTGTTGGGAGGCCCTCCTCTATATTCCATCAATTCCACGGGTATATCTGGTGGGAACACAGAATGGAACCTTCTCAGTAGCTGGTTTTTTTTCTTCTAGGCAAGTAAATATTTTTCTGACAGGGATTGGGGAGTGACTATATATAAGGCACATATAACACAATAGACTGGGCAGTACTAGTTGTGCTTGCGTGTGTGCATTTTTTATAATGCATTTAAAACTGTTTTTCTTTTCTTTTTAATGTTTACTCTTTCTTTAACTTGAGTATTGTCTGGATTTTTAACAATGTCTAACAAGTGGCTTTGACAGCTGATCTGAGGGAAAGAGATACAGAGGACAAGGAGGAGGAGAGGA